CCCCAAAACCCCAAAACCCCAAAACCCCAAAACCCCAAAACCCCAGATGGTGATCTGGCTATTGAGACATTTATATTCTTCAGTATTTTGCTGTTCAAGAGTCTAATTTTCTTGGCTTATTTGGTCTAAATGAAAAATTAATCTTAGAGGGGACAGGTAAAAACACCAACAAGCCTCAGGGGAAATATACATGCTCTCCTATCTTTCTGAGAGCTGAAAAAAACAGTTTAATAGAGCTACCAGGAATTTACTGTAAAAAGGTCATGGTGGATTAGCCAAAGAACTTATTCTAGAATCCATTTAACAGAACCTGAGGCATCACCAGCTCTAATGATCATCTAATGATCATGCCTTTTGTTAGAATATTTTCTTTGTGAGAACATATTTAGCTAAAACAGCTTCTTAACCCCTCAGATGAATCACATAGCCCACCATCTGCTTACCACCAAGCCCTAGGACTCTTTAATACCTCACTTAAACTACTTAATTTAAAAGTTATTCAAAGTCTGCTGATGGTCACCACATTTCGTAAATTATCTAAGAAACCTAGGCTAAAATAATCCTTTTGGAAACTGTAATGAAACAGACTAGTTTGTAGCTAAGCTAACATGGTTTAGAAAATGCTAACATTTCATATAGCTTCTGCTGAAAATTTATGGGAAGTTCACATTTTCTTAAGAAAATTAAGGAGTTTACCCAAGTTGGGAAGAGAGGTATTAAGGCTTGTTGTTTGGGAGATTTTAGGTTATGTGATGTATATGAGTTATTTCCATAAGTTTTAGCAAGATAGGGGTCGTTTCAAGCTGATCTGTCACCACTCTGGGATCGAAATAAGCTAATGGAAGTTATCAATCAACTTGGTTTATAATAGTATGTGTAGTTTTTATTAATTAAACTTGCAAGGAGGGCTCGGAGGGGTCTAAAACCTAAATATCTAATTTCTTCTAATTATTTCATAAATTTTCATAACCCTGAGCCTTCTAATTGCTTTGTCTGGAGATAGTTGTTTGCAAGTTATTATAATTTTTGAGTTGCACACTAACAGCCTGCACATAATGGTGATTTAATATTCTGAATTATTATAATTTGTCAGAGATCAACCTCACCAGGAACAGCTGGGGTTTTGGGGTTTTGGGGTTTTGGGGTTTTGGGGTTTTGGGGTTTTGGGG